TAATTGCAAGATCCATATTTGTCCACAAGAATTTACACATGTTTTTAAGTTTCTTGTTCTGAAAAAACGACTACGTATATCAAGAAAAAACAAAATATAAGCCCCGCCCACCCGCCCTTTCTCATGTGTGATGATTTTTGTAATCGTCAAGAGCCAAAGGAGCGAAAATTAATTGCAAAATCCTTATTACTTCTCTACAATAATTTACTATTTTAAATGTGTTTTAAATTTCTAAGAATTAAAAAAAATCATCACAATCGAGATGGGGTGGGTGGGCGGGGTTTATATTTTGCCTTTTTTTTTCTTAATACACATAGTATTCTGTAAACAACACCATACTCAAAAACATGTTTTTTATTTCTTGTAGAAAAATAAGGATTTTGCAATTAAACTCCGCCCCTTCGGTTCACGGCGAATAAAAAAATTCGTCAGAATTGAGACAGGGTAGGTGGGCGGGCTTACATTTTGTCTTTTTGTTTTAACATGTGTAGACTCCTTTTAGACAACATGAAACTTAAAACATGTTTAAAATGGAAAATTTGAATAAGGAAATGTCGATTTAGCATTTTAATTATGTTTTAAGTTTCTTGCTGTGAACAACAAAGTTGTTATTAATAATTTAGCTTCTCAGGGACACCAATAAGTAATTTTTTAAACTGCACCTGAACGTGCTCGCTGCGCTCGCTTTTTAAACTTGTTTTTTTCAGCTTTATTGTCATACAAATGTGCAGAAAAGAGTCTCAACGAAGTTGTTTTGGTTAGAATAAATCTTTAGACTCCAAAATATACACCCTTAGAATGCGAGCGCAGCGAGCATGTTTAGATTCCTCGAGTCTCCCCAGTTCAGCGGATAATCACAAACATTTATAAGATTCCCCTTTTCTGGACATAAAATATTCTCTTTTGAATAATTTGGCTTCTTAGGGACACTGACGAATAATTTTGAAGTGGGATTTACAAATTTGTTGTTGACGTTTTGAAAAAAGTGGAGGATTTAAGTTGATTACTAGAAACATTTACCATTTTAGACATGTTTTAAGTTTTTTCTTGTCGAAATAGGTCTACATATTTAAAAGACAAAAAGCAACATGTAGCCCCGCCCACCCACCCTGTCTCAATTGTGATGATTTTTTTTATTCGTCTAGAACCAAGAAGGCGGAGCTTAACTGCAAAATCCTTATTTCTCTACGAGAAATTAAAAACATATTTTTGAGTATCGTATCAAATCATACTAAACCGAAACATTAGGCCCCACTCATACCCGCCACGATCTCAAGCCTCAATTGTGATAAATTTTTCATTCGTTGTCAGATCGAGGGGCGGGGCTTAATTGCAAGATCCAGATTTATCTACAAAAATTTACCATTTTACACATGTTTTTAAGTTTCTTGTTCTGACAAAACGACTACGTATTTTAAGAATAAAACAAAACATAAGCCCCACCCACCCGCCCTTCCTGAATTGTGATGATTTTTTTTAATCGTGAAGAGCGAAAGGAGCGAAAATTAATTGCAAAATCCTCATTACTTCTCTACGATAATTTACCATTTTAAATCTAATTTAAGTTTCTAAAAATAAAAAAAATCATCACAATCGAGATGGGGTGGGTGGGCGGTGTTTATATTTTCCCCTTTTTTTCTTAATATATGTAATATTCTTTGAACAATGCGATACCCAAAAACATGTTTTTTATCTCTTGTAGAGAAGGATTTTGCCATTAAGCTCCGCCCCTTCGGTTCACGGCGAATAAAAAATTCATCACAATTGAGACAGGGTGGGTGGGCGGGCTTACATTTTGCCTTTTTGTTTTAATCTGTGTAGACTCCTTTTCACAAAATGAAACTTAAAACGTGTTTAAAATGGAAAATTTGTATAAGGAAATGTCGATTTTGCAATTAAGCCCCGCCCCATAAATCGGAATTCCATATTTCCTTGGAAAAACGTACGATTTTAATTATGTTTTAAGTTTCTTGTTGTGAAGAAATGGCTACGTTTATTATGAAAAATAGGCAAAATATAAGCCCCGCCCACCCGCCCTGTCTCAATTGTGATAATTTTTTTTAATCGTCAAAAGCCAAAGGAACGGAATTTAATTGCAAAATCCTTATTATTTCCTTACAAAATGTATCATTTTAAACGTGTTTTAAGTTTCTAAGAATTAAAAAAATCATCACAATTGAGATCGGGTGGGTGGGCGGGGTTTGTATTTCCCCTTTTTTTCTTAATATATATATTATTTTTTTATCAACACGACGCTCAAAAACATGTTTTTTATTTCCTGTAGAGAATTAAGGATTTTGCAATTAAGCTCCGCCCCTTCGCTTCACGGCGAATGAAAAAATTCATCACAATCGAGACAGGGTGGGCGGGCGGGCTTACATTTTACCTTTTTGTTTTAATATGTGTAGACTTCTTTTCATAACAATAAACTTAAAACATGCTTAAAATGGAAAATTTGTATAAGGAAATGTCGATTTTGCAATTAGGCTTCGCTCCATTAATCGGAATTCCATATTTCCTTGAAAAAATGCACCACTTTAATCATGTTTTAAGCTCCTTGTTGTGAAAAAATTACTAAGTATATTATTATTATTATTATTATTCTTATTAAACGCAACTTTCCCAACGGGATAACCCACTTTGTAGGGAAAGTGAGAAAAAAAAAGAAAAAGAAAGTGAAAAAGTTATTAAATTGGGCATGTCGAAAGAAAAGACAAAATTTTAGTTTGTAGATTATTATTATGAATAAAAAGGAAAATATAAGCCCCACCCACCCGCCCTATCTTAATTCTGATGATTTTTATTAATCGTCAAAAGCCAAAGAAGCGAAATTTAATTGCAAAATCCTCATTATTTCTCTACAATAATTTACCATTTTAAACGCGTTTTAAGTTTCTAAAAATTAAAAAAATCATCACAATCGAGATGGGGTGGGTGGGCGGGGTTAATATTTCCTTTTTTTTTTTTTCTTAATATATGTAGTATTCTTTGAACAATGCGATACCCAAGAACATGTTTTTTATTTCTTGTAGAGAACGATTTTGCAATTAAGCTCCGCCCCTTCGGTTCACGGCGAATAAAAAAATTCATCACAATTGAGACAGGGTGGGCGGGCGGGCTTATATTTTACCTTTTTGTTTTAATATGTGTAGACTTCTTTTATAACATGAAACTTAAAACATGTTTAAAATGGAAAATTTGTATAAGGAAATGTCGATTTTGCAATTAGACTCCGCGTCCTAAATCGGAATTCCATATTTCCCTGTAAAAATGTACCATTTTAATCATGTTTTAAGTTTCTTGTTGTGAAAAAATGGCTATGTATATTATGAATAAAAAAGAAAATATAAGCCCCACCCACCCGCCCTATCTCAATTCTGATGATTTTTTTATTCGTCGTAAGCCGAGGGGCGGAGTTTAATTGTAAAATCCTCATTGAAATTAAAAACATGTTAAGTAACGTGTTGTTCGACCTTCATCTAAATGTGCTCGCTGCACTCGCATTCTGAATACTCTTTTTTTAAATAATGCGGTTACATGAGTTTGTTTTATAATAATCTTGTTAATACGGTAGTGACAGCAAATATTTTTCCACAACTAGCTATCAAGCTGTGATTATATCGCTTTTACTACAATTACTATTTTATTTACTGTGTTCTTTATTGATTATTCGTTGCATGTTATCAACTATTTGTTTGCAGTTATTAAGGCTGAATAGGTAATGAAATAACGACATTTTTTTATTAACAATTAAATCCACTGTTTATTGTTAGTGTTATTTTATATTAATAAGAGTTCTACCTCAAAAAATACGGGTTTTTGTATACTATGAATAGCTGAAATCAAGTTTTTAGTTTTTGTGCTGGTGGTATCTTTGTGCTAGAAGTTTTTCCTGTATAATTCCATCTGGTACTCACGATTTGGAGAAAAAATATAATAAAACCTAGTTTAACACCAATTTGTTTATAGTTTTACAATTTTTAAGTGGATAAGTGACGTTCTCGCCTAGCGTTACAAACACAAAGATTGTTAGTTGTACGAGTAGAAATAAAAGCGTATACATTTGAAAGCAAGCCAGACAAAACACTTTTTTGTCTTGGCGGTTTTAAGCTACATTTTGCTCCGTTTTCTCTCAGTCTTTCTCTCCCACTTTATCTATGTTTATTATAAGTAGAGATGATTTGTTACAACTAACAACCATTGTTTCCGTATACTTCGCTATTTCAACAACATTGCAGATATGTTAACGCAGTATTACAGATACATAAAACTGGCGCCAATTTGAAATCGGGAATTCCAGTTTGATGCATGGGTGCATTTTGTCGACTTCCAGACAAACTCACACAAGAACCGGTGTCACAAAAATAGAAAGACGACTAAAACCGTGGTCGGTGTACAGGTGCAACGGAAGTCCTGAGAAAATCGACTAAATTCTGAGCAACAGTTAAGACTAAAACTACTCAAGTGGTAAAAAAGGTAGAAATAGTCAGTCTCATCGCAGCAAAACAGTGAAAGCAACGTGAAAAAGCTACACACGATGATGAAAATGGATGTCGCGTTTTTTATATATTTTAAAGTACACCGGGCGACTCGTCTAATGAGAACAGCGTAGGAAACTATGTACATTCAACGCACTTAATCGAATTTCGTCCCAATCTTTCTGAGCCCAGTCACCCGATGGACACACAGTAATTGACTAACAACTACTAGCTACCCACGATAAATATCTCCATACAAAAGAAAGAAGCAGAGGCAGTGAAGCAAACAAAATTGACACGAACGAGTGCAGAGACCAGTCTTCGTAGAACCAAACTACTATTATACACAAATTAGGCCTTAAAACTACTTGGGACTTATATCACCCACGTTCGACTACTCTACACCCACTAAATTTAGAATCGTCGAGAGCGAAACAAACAGGCCATTACGAAAAAGTAGAACATGAAGCTCCAGTGTAGTCTACTCCCATAATATCACATGAACTGTAGCTAAAACAGGTAGAAAACTACAGTTTATACAATTCCAACACCTCTATCAGAATCTTAGCGTAGAAAAATAGAATCTACAACAATTTATAAAACATGTAAATTCTCGCAAGACCTCGACTTGCTAATGTCGTTCATACAGATTTTCTGCAGGATCTCCCGGGCGATGTTGAGGCTGAGACTGGTCTTGGAGCCGTGCAGCTTATTACTCTCCTTCTTCGATCCCGACTTCTTCTTCTCGCGCGACTCCCGCAGCCGGATCTGCTTGAGGATGCCCACCAGGAGCTCGTCCACGTTGTGCTGGATGCCGCTGGAGGTCTCGATGAACTTGCAGTCGCGGGCCACCGCCAACGCCTTGCCCTCTGGAACCAGCACAATTTGAATAAACAACCCGTTTTTTCGCTGTAATAAAAGTAATTACTTCCCCGATTTTTTGTTTTTGTGTCGCGTTCAGCAGCTAATTACATTTTTTGCGCTTTTGAAGTTCCGGGCTTATTAAATCTCACTCGATTTTGGCGGAACTTAACCCGTGTCGCTTTGACCCCGTCGTCACCCTTCAGTTCATGTTAATTAAGATTAGCGAGTCGAACGCTTAAGGGTTATGATTATGAAATGAAATCAGGAAACGAGTAACTTAATGAAAACATGTCGCTTTTTTTATGAATTTTTTAGCAGGTTTCGAGTGAGCGGACGCGAGGAATGTTATTAATTTGACGAAATTCGTTAGAAACGCGAGCTAATTAAAATTTTGTTTATGACACGGCGTTCTCTGGCGCGGAATGTTGACTTATTGGAATACAGAATGTACGGTTCGAATAACAAGAGGAAATATTTTCTGTGTTTGGGAAAGTTTTGATTTTAGGGAGACTTCACACAACCCTCTGGAATTATTTTCGTTTGATTGAGTAGCGTCACTATAGTAACTTATTGAGAGTATAATTACTGGGAAATAAGGCTACCAATTGGGCTCTTACTTTAACTCCATTCATTCAATCTCAATAATCATCATTCAATCAATAATTCTAAATATCGTTCTGAGTTGCTTCCTTGCATACAAATCCTCTGCCAGAGATAAAATTTCAAGAACATTTATTTGTCAGGCAATTTATTCAGTGTTACGAAACGTTCTAGCTCCATTTGTATAATGTGTGGCACATTGTCTGTATTTATTCAGCTTGTATGTTTCACAGATTACAGCGGACGATATTTGATACAAATATTGAACAAAAATAAATTCACATCGTTTCACCTTGTTTCCATTTAATATTATTTGAAATACACGAGCTCCATGTCACTAAAAATAATCGTTTCATCTCTGGCACCTGTATAACTATCTATATAGATTTTTAGATTTTTTATGATGATGCTATCTATCGAAGAATGAAATTGTCCCCTTTATTGTTATCTAATTTATCGGTCAAAAAATCACTAATTCCGACTAAGATTTTTTTGGAAACGTTGTGTTCTAGTTTGTGTGAATTTTTAAATGTTTTTAGTGACAATTTTTGTGGTTATTTTCGATACAATGTATGATATGACATTGAGGAAAAAATTAAAAATTAAAAAATCTAAAATTTAAAAATCGATAAATCAAACCCCCTAAATTTAAAAAGAAAAGCCAAAAATCGGAAACGTAAAAAATCGAAAAACCGAGAAGTCGAAAAGTAGAAAAATTGGGAAACCCAGTTGCCCAAAATCGGAAAAGCGAAAAGAGAAATTGAACAATCAAAACATCGAAACATCCCAATCTCCATAAATCGAGAAATCAAAAAATTTAAAAATTCGAAAAATTGAAATATTGAGAAATCGAAAGATTAAAAGATCGAGAAATAGGAAAGACCTGAAGACGAAAATTCGAAAAATTGAGAAATTAAACAATCAAAATATGGAAACATTCAAATCTCGATAAATTGGGAAACGGAAACATTGAAACATCAAAAAATTTAAAAAATCGAAAATTTGAAAAAGCGACAAATAAAATCTAAAACTGAGAAGTCGAAAATCGAAAGATTGAGAAATCGAATATTTGAAAAATTCGAAAACTTGAAAAACTGAAGTATCGAAGAACTGAAATGAATAATCGAAAAATCTAAAAATCGAAAAAATTTAAAAATGGAAAACCTACATGTCAAGAAATCGGAACATCAAAAAATCATCAAAAAAATGAAAAATTCAAAAATCTAAAATTAAAAATCGAAAAATAAAAAACCGAGAAATCAAGACTCCTAAATTTAAAAAATCGAAAAATTGGATACTTGAAAATCGAAACATCGAAAACTGGAAATTCGAAAAGCCGAAAATCCGAAAAGTAAAAATCGAAAAGCTGAGAAATTGAAAAATCAAAAGATAGAGAAATCGAGAAGTCGAAAAGTCGAAAATTTAAAAACCCAGTAGGCCAAAATCGAAAAATTGAACAATCAAAACATCGAACATCCCAATTTCCATAAATCGAGAATTCAAAAAATTTAAAAATTCGAAAAATTTAAATATTGAGAAATCGAAAGGTCAAAAGATCGAAAAATTGGAGTCCTGAAGTCGAAAAATTGAGAAACCGAAATAGACCAAAATCGAAAAAACGGAAAGTTAAAAGTTGAAAAATTGGAAAATCGAAAAATCTAAAAGCGGAACAAAAAAAAATCGGAAAAATGGAAAAACTGAGAAACCGAAATAGGCCAAAATAAAACATCGAAAACTCTGAACTAAATAAATGGAAAAACTCATAAATCGGGAAATTAAAATTAAAAAATCGAAAACTTAAAAATCGAAAATTTGAAAAAACCAAAAAAAAATCTAAAACCGGGCAGTCGAAAATCGAAAGATTGAGAAATCAAACATTTGAAAAATTCGAAACCTTGAAAAACTGAAATATCGAAGAACTGAAATGAAAAATTTAAAAAATGGAAAATCAAGATGTCAAGAAATCGAAACATCAAAAAATTGAAAAAATGAACAATTCAAAAATCTAAAATTAAAAATCGAAAAATTGGATATTTGAAAATCGAACCATCGAAAAACTGGAAATTCGAAAAGCCGAAAATCCGAAAAGTAAAAAATCGAAAAACCGAGAAGTTGAAAAGTCGAAAAATTGAGAAACTCATTTGCCCAAAATCGGAAAATCGAAAAGTTAAAAATAGAAAATTTGATAAATCGAGAAATTGAACAATCAAAACATCGAAACATCCGAATCTCCATAAATCGAGAAATCAAAAAATGTAAAAATTCGAAAAATTAAAAATTGAAATATTGAGAAATCCAAAGATCAAAAGATCGAGAAATCGGAAAGACCTGAAGTCGAAAAATTGAGAAACCGGAATAGGCCAAAATCGAAAAATCTCATAGCGGAAAAATGAAAAAACGGAAAAATGGAAAAACTGAGAAACTGAAATAGGCCAAAATAAAACATCGAAAAATTATAAATTGAAAAACTTATAAAAATCGAGAAATTAAACAATCAAAATATCAAAACATTCAAATCTCATTAAATTGGGAAATGAAAACATTGAAAAATCAAAAATTAAAAAAATCGAAAATTTGAAAAAACGACAAATAAAATCTAAAACTGAGAAGTCGAAAAATCCAAAGATTGAGAAATCAAATATTTGATAAATTCGAAACATTGAAAAACTGAAATATCGAAGAACTGAAATGAAAAATTTAAAAAATGGAAAATCAAGATGTCAAGAAATCGAAACATCAAAAAATTGAAAAAATGAACAATTCAAAAATCTAAAATTAAAAATCGAAAAATTGGATATTTGAAAATCGAACCATCGAAAAACTGGAAATTCGAAAAGCCGAAAATCCGAAAAGTAAAAAATCGAAAAACCGAGAAGTTGAAAAGTCGAAAAATTGAGAAACTCATTTGCCCAAAATCGGAAAATCGAAAAGTTAAAAATAGAAAATTTGATAAATCGAGAAATTGAACAATCAAAACATCGAAACATCCGAATCTCCATAAATCGAGAAATCAAAAAATGTAAAAATTTGAAAAATTGGAAATTGAAATATTGAGAAATCTAAAGATCAAAAGATCGAGAAATAGGAAAGACCTGAAGTCCAAAAAAAAACTAAGAAACCGAAATAGAATAGAAAATAAAACATCGAAAATTTATAAATTGAAAAACTCATCAAAATCGAATCAAACTATCGATAAATCGGAAAATCGAAATCAAAACATTGAAAAATCGAAAATTTAAAAAATTGAAAATTTGAAAAAACGAAAAATAAAATCTAAAACCGGGAAGTCAAAAAATCGAATTTTTGAAGAATCAAACAGTTGAAAAATTCGAAAACTTAGAAAACTGAAATATCGAACAACTGAAATGAAAAATCGAAAAATCGAAAAATCAGAAATTTTAAAAATCGAAAAATCGAAAACGATAAAGTAAAAAAATCAACACATCAAAAAATCCAGAAGTAAAGAATCGAAATATTGAAAAATCCCGAAAGTGAAATATTGAAAAGCTGAAAAACGAAAGAAAAACTGAAAAATCCAAAACTGAAATTTCGAAAAATTGAAAAATGAAAGAAAACTGAAGAATAGAAAAACTAAAAAATCTCAAAACTGAAATATCTGAAAACTGAGAAATTAAAAAATTGAAAAATTGAGAAACTAAAAAGCTAAAAAGGTGAAGTCGAAAAATCAAAACCTTAAAAAATTGAAAAACTGAAATATCAAACGCCTAAAAAATTGAAAAATTGAATAATTGAAGACACGAAAAATTGAAAAAACCAAATATTTAAAAATGGTAAAATTGAAGAGGAGAAAAATCGAAAATGGTAAAATTGAAAAATTGAGAAATTGTAAAATCGAAAAATTGAATAATAAACAAACTGAAAAATCCCAAAACTGAAATATCCAAAAACTGAGAATCTAAAAAATTGAGAAATCGAAAAATCAAGAAAGTGAAGTCGAAAAATCGAAACTTTAAAAGTAGAAAAATTGAAAAATCAAAAACCTAAAAAATCGAAAAATTTAAAAACTGAAGAACCGAAAAATCGAAATAGTCCAAAGTCAAGAAATGGGAAAATCAAAACATCGATTTATTGAAAAATCGAAAAATTGATAATTTAGAAAAGTTAAAAATTGTTATATTGAAAAATCAAAGTATATTGAAAATCGTAAAATTGAAGACACAAATTGGAAAAACGTAAAACGGCAACATCGGAAAACTGAGAAATCGAGAAATTGAAAAATTGAGAAATTGCAAAAACGAAACATTGAGTGATAATAAATAATTAATCGGAAAAGTCCCAAATCTGAGATTTCGAAAAATTGAAAAATGAAAAAAAAAAACAAAGAATGGAAAAACTGTAAAATCTCAAAACTGAAAAATTAAAAAATTGAAAAATTAAGAAATCAAAAAGTCAAAAAAGTGAAATCGAAAAATCGAAACCTTAAAAAATTGAAAAACTAAACAATCAAAACTTAAAAAACTGAAAAATCGAAAAATTGGGAGTTTATAAAAGTCAAATTTGCAAAATTGAAAATACCAAATATTTAAAAATGGTATAATTGAATAGAAAAACTGAAAATTGTGAAATTGAGAAATTGAGAAATTTGTTAAATCGAAAAACTGAATAATAAATAAACTGAAAAATCCCAAAACTGAAATTTCGAAAAATTCAAAAATCAAAGAAAAACTGAAGAATCCCAAAACTGAAATGTTCAAAAACTGGAATCTAAAAAATTTAAAAATTGAGAAATAGAAAAATAAAGAAATGTACTTCGTCGAAAAATCGAAATTCTAGAAAAAATCAAAAAATTGAAAAATCAAAAAAAAGAAAATCAAAACATCGATTAATTGAAAAATCCCAAAACTGAAATATCCAAAAATTGAGAATCTAAAGAATTGTAAAATTGAGAAATCGAAAAATCAAAGAAGTGAAGTGGAAAATCGAAACCTTAAAAAATCGAAAAATTGAAAAATCAAAAACCTGAAAAATCGAAAAATTCAAAAACTGAAGAACTGAAAAATCGAAACCGTCCAAAGTGAAGAAATGGGAAAATCGAAACATCGATTTATTGAAAAATCGAAAAATTGAGAATTTAGAAAAGTTAAAATTGAAAAATTGAAAAGTCGAAATATTTGAAAATCGTAAAATTGAAGAGAAAAATTGAAAAAACGTAAAACTGAAACATCGGAAAATTGAGAAATTGTAAAATCGAAAAATTGAAAAATGAAAGAAAAACTGAAGAATGGAAAAACTGAAAAATTGAGAAATCAAAAAGTCAAAAAAGTGAAGTCGAAAAATCAAAACCTTGAATTGAAAAACTGAAAAATCAAAAACCTAAAAATTGAAAAATTGAATAATTGAATAAATTAAAAATCGAAAAATCGAGAGTTTATAAAAGTCAAATTTGAAAAATGAAAAAGCCAAATATTTAAAAATGGTAAAATTGAAGACAAAAAACGTAAAACGGAAATATAGGAAAATTTAGAAATCGAGAAATTGAAAATTTGAGAAATTGTAAAATCGAGGAATTAAATAATAAATAATCTGAAAAATCCAAAACTAAAATTTCGAAAAATTGAAAAATGAAAGAAAAACTGAAGAATGGAAAAAACGAAAAATCTCAAAACTGAAATGTTCAAAAACTGGAATCTAAAAAATTTGAAAACTGAAAAATGGAAAAATCAAAAAAATGTTGAAAAATCGAAACTCTAGAAAAAACCGAAAAATTGAAAAATTAAAACTGAAGAATTGAAAAACAGGAAAATCTAAATAGTAAAAAGTCAATAAATGGGAAAATCAAAACATCCAAAAATTAAGAATTTAGAAAAGTCAAAAATTGAAAAATCATAATATTTAAAAATCATATAATTGAAGCTAAAAATTGAAAAAACGCAAAACGGAAACACCTGAAAATTGAGAAATCGAAATATTGAAAAATTAATAAGTTGTAAAAATGAAGAAATGAATAATAAATAATCTGAAAAATCTCAAAACTTAAAGATCTAAAAAATGAGAAATTAAAAAAATGAAAAATTGAGAAATCAAAAAGTCAAAAAAGTGAAGTCAAAAAATCAAAACCTTAAAAAAAATTGAGAAATTGAAGAGGTGAAAAGTTGTAAAAACGTAAAATTGAAACATCGGAAAATTGAAAAAACGTAAAATTGAAACATCGGAAAATTGAAAATCATGAAATTGAAAAATTGGAAATTTGTAAAATCGAAAAATTGAATAATAAATAAACCAAAAAATCCCAAAACTGAAATTTCGAAAAAATTAAAAAATGAAAGAAAAACAGAAAACATTCAAAAAATGAGAAATTAAAAAAACCAAAAAGAAAAGTCGAAAAATCGAAACGTTAAAAAATAGAAAAATCGAAAAGTCGAAAGTCAAAAAATGGGAAAATTAAAACATCGATTAATAAAAAAAAATTATGCAAAGTGGATCTTAACTCTTTCCCGTAAAAATTATAGTTTTGAAATGGAGAGCCGTAAACTGAAATGAATTTTCAATCGTAAAATTAGTCTAAAAAAAATTCATTAACATAATACATTACAATGAAAAAATTAAAACAACCCAATAAGAGTGAAAACCAGCAATTATAATAAAACAAATAAAATTAACGAAACATTTTTTTTAAATGTCTTGAACACGATAACTAAAATTTAAAAAATGTAAGCAATAGATGTCGTTTAAACGAAAACCGACTGATGTTTCCAGAATTGTCAAAATAGTTGATTTTCTTTGAATCAAGTTTATATAAACATTAAGTGTACTAGCCCCGCCCACCCGCCCTTTATTTTCTTAAAGGGTATCTCAGTTAACTTGATTTTCAGCTTCTTGAAAATTGGTCTCCCAACATTTCACCTTGATCTAAGAAGTGAAATAGATCTCCTATTTCGGTCCGTCTGTCTGTCTGTCTGTCTATGTGCCGATTTATGCTAAACAGATAATCTCCGAAACTACCGCATCAGTTGTTGTCAGATTTTATATGTGCGTTATTTGCATTGAATACATGTTAAAAATAAAATAATAACGCGAAGCCAACTCGAATCTCTCCTTGTTCTTGACATAACTTCCAACACTGCAAAGCCCACCAATTTCTCTGTTCTCTTTTTAATAAACCCCTCGCTTATGGCAAATCTAATAAAAACCCCCATTGTCTTCTCCAAACAATGCGATTTCCTATTTGTTTATTTTTTACTTCAAAGGAGCATCGATCCTGCCGTCCGCTCTCTAAAAGCTCTCCCAGTTTTCCCCTTAAAAATACGAAAATAATGGACCTTAATGAAAATTTATAGGATTTATAGGCATCCGATACTCGGTCCACCGTTCCACGTACGGCCATTAAATCGTTGTTTGTATAGCAAATAATCGAACCGCCTGAATACAACTCGCTAACTAACACTGAAAGCGTGTGCTGTATGTGTAATCGACAGCGACAGTCTTGTTGCTCAAACTCGAAACATGGTGCATCTATTGCTAAATCACACAGTCCAACTCACCCCAGACCGCACAATTACTAGTCCACTTTACCAATCGCAAGGATCCAACAACTAAATTTCAGGGTTTAGCAGCAGGACCGGTCAAACACGCAGTGCGCGAAGCGCACGTTTTTTTTTTAGGTGAATTTTAAAATGAATTGCAGCTGCATGTTTGGCCGGTCTTTGTCAAAATAAAAACTTAATCCCCAGACAGACAAACTCAAGTGCGACAAACCATTCGCCGTGATGACCCTCGACCTGGCCAGGTCCGCCTTGTTGCCCACGACGATGACGCTCTTCTCCTGCGTGTACCCCTCCCGCCACAGGTAGTTGAGGGTCTCTTCGGCGTGCTGGAAGCTCGGCCTCGCCACCACCGAGTAGACGACGACGCAAGCGTGCGGCTCGTAAGTGCTGAGAGAATTTTCCACCTGGAACACACCGCCTTTGTTGTTAATAACGCACCTAGATAAAGTTTATTAATAGCAGTTGGAGTTACTGTTTATGGGATCGATTCTCTAATGGGTAAACAGCATAATGTTTCCGTACGCTCGCTGGAGTTCCATTATATACATATTTAATAACGCCCCTAACTGAGAACTTAACACAATGGCCGTACAGGCTCCGACGGCGCCCATTATGTGCAAGAAAAACAGAAAATACGAGGGGAAAGAAATCAATTTCTAGGTCGGCAAACAAAGCCCGCGTGGTTGCAGCGCTCGCCTCAGCTCGTCGGAAAAAATCCCACCGACTGCGCCATTTCGTGGGCCGAATCAATCAAAGCTGCATCAATCATCGTCAAGACGTCTCCCGGGTCTTGTTTCGCACTTTTTGAAGGTCGGCCCGAATCCCTCTTTTGTATAAATCGAAAAAGAAAGATTTATAATGACAAATCGATGGTCGGATTTTTATTTATTTCGCTGGCGCGGAAAAGTGTGGGGATAATCGACGTGTTCGAAAACACATTTCCCGTTTTCGAGAGCAGTTTTTCCGGCAATCAGTCCGACGGCGACGGAGTTAATTCCGCGAATTATTAATTATTTTGCGTAATCCGTTTCAGTTATGTAAGCGCGTTTAATCGTGATAAATTGAGTCTCGCGTAATCTCGTGTCACCTATCTTAATCTAGTTGCAGGACGGCGTGTCGCAGTTGTTTAATGTAGCTACTGAAACAAATATTTTATTCAGTGGTGTGTCTGCATTAAAGCAGACTGGGGGTTTTCCGGCTGAAGTGAAAAATGAAAGGGTTAAAAGCGACAAAATGAAAGGAAATTATCGTCGATTGGTAAGAAGTGAAGAGGGAGAGAACTGTTTGTGGTCTCACAGTGGCTAGGGCTATTATCTTACACTTAACCATTTCTTACGTAGAAAATTAATATTTTTGAAAAAAGACACTTGGGGCCCTCGAGAAGGTTTCGCCTCTTTAAAAGAGGACAGTTGGGACCCCCGAGAAGGGTTCACATTTAAAAAAAAAACATTTGGGGTCCCTGAGAAGGTTTTAGATTAAAAAAAAAACAGATTTTCAAAGACAGTTGGGACGCTCGAAAAAAAAATTTGGCTCCCCCGAGAAGGTTGTAGAAGAAAAGTGGAGGATTTAAGTTGATTACTACAAAAATTTACCATGTTCTAAGTTTCTTGTCGAAATAAGTCTGCAGATGTTAAGAAAAAAAGATAAAATATAGCACCGCCCGCCCCCCTATCTCAATTGTGATGATTTTTTTTATTCGTTGTGAATCAAGAAGATGGAGCTTAACTGCAAAATCCTTATTTCTCTACGAGAAATTAAAAACATGTTTTGGAGTATCGTGTTGTTCAAAGAATAGTATAGTACGTATTTTAAGAAAAAAATAAAGACAAAGATTAGGCCCCACCCATACCCGCTGCGATCTCAATTCTCAGTTGTGATGAATTCTTCATTCGTTGTCAGATCGTGGGGCGAGGCTTAATTGCAAGATCCATATTTGTCTACAAGAATTTACCATTCTAAACATGTTTTAAGTTTCTTGTTCTGAAAAGACAACTACGTACATTAAGAAAAAAAGGCGAAATATAAGCGCCGCCCACCCGCCCTATCTCAATTGAGATTGATTTTTTAAATTCTTTAAGGTTTTTTCACATCCTTCCACTCATTTTCAATAATTTCAGATCCTTTCAGTATGTTTCATATACATATTAACAGAGTTATCCAGATTCTACCAGATTTTTCCAGATTCATTCAAGTCCCTTCAGACCTTGGCAGACTCTTCCATATTCCTTAAGAATTTTTAAGGCCCTTTAAAATGCTTTAAGTTTTTTTAGAATTTTTAAAATTCTTTAGTATTTCCTAAGATTCTTGGAGGTTCTTTAAGATTCTTTCAGATTTTTTCAGATTTTCTCAGTTTCTGTGAGATTTTCTCAAATTATCTCAAATTCTTTAGTAATCACTTAGATTCTCTCAGATTCCATTAGATTCTTAAATGCTCTATACTAGATTCTCTCATATTCTCTCAGATTCTCTTAGTTTTTCTTAGATTATCCCAAATTCTTCCAAATTATTTCAGATTTAGAAAAACTCTTTCAGTTTCTGACAGATTCTTTCAAATTATGTCAAATTCTCTAGTAAATCTAGCAGATTACGCTTAGATTCCATCAGATTTCTAAAGACTCTGCAGTTGATTTTCTTAAATTCTCTTAAGTTCTGTCAGATTCTATCCGATTCGGATCAGGTTCTCTTAGATTTTCTTATATTAAGGCTCAAATTTTCTCAGATTCTTTCAAATTCGTAAAAACACTTTCAGATCCTCTCAGGTTCTTACAGAATTGTTCAGATTCTCTCAAATTCTCTCAGATTCTCTTATTTTTTTCTTAGATTATCACAAATTCTTCCAAATTATTTTAGATTCAGATTCTCTGGGATTCTTCCATAATTGTTCAGATTCTCTCAGTTTCTGACAGCTCCTTTCAAATTATCTCAAATTCTCTTGTAAATCTAAGAGCCCTCAGATTCTCTTAGATTCTCTCGGATTTTCAAAGACTCTGTAGTAAATTTTCTCAGATTCTCTTAGGTTCTCTCAGATTCTCTCCGATTCTCTCAGATTCTTTCAGAATTTTTCAGATTTTCTCAGTTTCTGTCAGATACGTTCAAATTATCTCAAATTGTCTAGAAATATCTTAGATTCTCTCAGATTCCCTCAGATTCTCTTAGAATTTGTCAGATTTTGATACGTTTTTCATATTATTTGAGATTGTCTCAAATTGTGTGAAATTCTCTGAGTTGAGTCAGATTCTCTCAGATTCTCTTAAATTCTCTCAGTTTTTCTCAGATTCTTTCAGGTTTTTAAAAACTCTATAATACGAGTAGATTCTCTCAGATTCTCTCAGATTCTGTTAGTTTCTCTTAGATTATCCCACATTCTTTCAAATTATTTCAGATTAAGAAAAACTCTTTCAGATTCTCTCGGATTCTTTCAGAATTTTTCAGATTTTCTCAGCTTCTGTCAGATTTTTTCAAATTATCTTTAATTGCTTAGAAATCTCTTAGATTTTCTCAGATTCCACCAGATTCTTTTAGATTTGTCAGATTTTCGTAGGTTTTTCATATTATTTGAGATTATCTCAATTCTTGTGAAAACCTTTGAGTTTCTGTCAGATTTTCCCAGATTCTTTCAAATTCTGCCAGATTATCCCAGTTTCTCTGAGATTCTTTCAGTTACTCTCAAATTCTCTCAGTTTCTCTCAGATTCTTCCAGGTTTTTAAAGACTCTATAATAGAGATTCTCTCAGATTTTCTCAGATTATCTTAGTTTTTCTTAGATTATTCCAAATTCTTCCAAATTATTTCAGATTTAGAAAAACTCTTTCAGATTCTCTTGGATTCTTCCATAATTTTTCAGATTCTCTCAGTTTCTGACAGATTCTTTCAAATTATCTCAAATTCTCTAGTAAATCTAACAGAATACGTTTAGATTCCCTCAAATTCTCTCAGATTCTCTTAAATTTTCTTATATTATCTCAAATTGTCTCAGATTCTTTCAAATTCGTAAAAACTCTTTCAGATCCTCTCAAATTCTTTCACAATTTTTCAGATTTACTCAGTTTCTGTCAGATTCTTTCAAAATATCTCAAATTGTCTAGAATCTCTTAGATTCTCTCAGATTCCCCCAAATTCTCTTAGAATTTGCCAGATTTTCATAGGTTTTTCATATTATTTGAGATTGTCTCAATTTTTGTGAAATTCTCTGAGTTTCTGACAGATTCTCTCAGATTCTTTCAGATTGTGTCAGATTATCCGAGTTTCCCTGAGATTCTCTTAAATTCTCTCAAATTCTCTCAGATTCTCTCAGATTCTCTTAGTTTTTCTTAGATTATCTCAAATTCTTCCAAATTATTTCAGAGTAAGAAAAATTGTTTCAGATTCTCTCGGGTTCTTCCACAATTTTGCAGATTCTCTTAGATTTTCTTACATTATCTCAAATTTTCTTAGATTTTTTCATATTCGTAAAAACTCTTTCAGATTCTTTCAAGTTCTTTCAGAATTTTTCAGATTTTCTCAGTTTCTGTCAGATTCTTTCAAAATATCTCAAATTGTCTAGAAATCTCTTAGATTCTCTCAGATTCCCCCTGATTCTTTTAGAATTTGTCAGATTTTCATAGGTTTTTCATATTATTTGAGATTATCTCAATTTTTGTGAAATTCTCTGAGTTTCTGTCAGATTCTCCCAGATTCTTTCAGATTCTGTCAGATTATCCTGGTTTCTCTGAGATTCTTTCAGTTTCTCTCAGATTCTCTTAAATTCTCTCAAATTCTCTCAAATTCTCTCAGATTCTCTTAGTTTTTCTTAGATTATCTCAAATTCCTCCAAATTATTTCAGAGTTAGAAAAACTCTTTCAGATTCTCTCGGGAAATAATTTTTCAGATTCTCTCAGTTTCTGTCAGATTCTTTCAAATTATCTCAAATTCTCTAGTAAATCTAAGAGATTACGCTTAAATTCCCTCAGATTCTCTTAGATTCTCTCAGATTTTTAAAGACTCTGTAGTAGATTTTCTCAGATTCTCTTGGGTTCTCTCAGATTCTCTCCGATTCCCCCAGATTCTTTTAGAATTTGTCAGGTTTTCATGGTTTTTTTATATTATTTGAAATTATCTCAATGTTTGTGATATTCTCTGAGTTTCTGTCAGATTCTCTCAGATTCTTTCAGATTCTTTCAAATTATCTCAAATTCTCTAGTAAATCTAAGAGACTACGCTTAGATTCTCTCAGATTTTCAAATACTCTCTAGTAGATTTTCTCAGATTCTCTTAGGTTCTCTCAGATTTTTTTATATTATCTCAAAATCTCTCAGATTCTTTCAAATTCGTAAAAACTCTTTGAGATCCTCTCAGGTTCTTTCACAATTTTTCAGATTTTACTCAGTTTCTGTCAGATTCTTTCAAATTATCTCAAATTGTCTAGAAACTCTTAGATTCTCTCAGATTCCTCGAGATTCTCTTAGAATTTGTCAGATTTTCATAGGTTTTTCATATTATTTGAGATTATCTTAATTTTTGTGAAATTCTCTGAGTTTCTATCAGATTCTCTCAGATTCTTTCAGATTCTGTCAGATTATCCCAGTTTCTCTGAGATTCTTTCAGTTTCTCTCAGATTCTCTTAAATTTTGTCAAATTCTCTCAGTTTATCTCAGACTCTTTCAGATTTTTAAAGACTCTATAATAGATTCTCCCAGATTCTCTCAGATTCTCTTAGTTTTTCTTAGATTATCCCAAATTCTTCCAAATTATTTCAGATTTAGAAAAACTCTTTCAAATTGTCTCGGGTTCTTCCATAATTTTTCGGATTCTCTCAGTTTCTGTCAGATTCTTTCAAATTATCTCAAATTCTCTAGTAAATCTAAGAGATTACGCTTAGATTCCCTTAGATTCTCTTAGATTCTCTGAGATTTTTAAAGATTCTGTAGTAGATGTTCTCAGATACTCTTGGGTTCTTCCAGATTCCCCCAGATTCCTTTAGAATTTGTCAGATTTTCATAGGTTTTTCATATTATATGAGATTATCTCAATTTTTGTGAAATTCTCTGAGTTTCTGTCAGATTCTCTGAGATTCTTTCAAATCTGTCGGATTATTGCAGTTTCTCTGAGATTCTTACAGTTTCTCTCAGATTCTTACAGGTTTTTAAAGACTATAATAGATTCTTTCAGATTCTCTCAGATTCTCTTAGTTTTTCTTAGATTATCTCAAATTCTTCCAAATTATTTCAGAGTTAGAAAAACTCTTTCAAATTCTCTCGGGTTCTTGCATAATTTTTCGGATTCTCTCAGTTTCTGTCAGATTCTTTCAAATTATCTGAAATTGTTTAGAAATCTCTTAGATTCTGTCAGATTCCCCCAGATACTTTTAGAGTTTGTTAGATTTTCATAGGTTTTTCATATTATTTGAGATTGTCTCAATTTTTGTGAAATTCTCTGAGTTTCTGACAGATTCTCTCAGATTCTTTCAGATTGTGTCAGATTATCCGAGTTTCCCTGAGATTCTCTTAAATTCTCTCAAATTCTCTCAGATTCTCTCAGATTCTCTTAGTTTTTCTTAGATTATCTCAAATTCTTCCAAATTATTTCAGAGTTAGAAAAACTTTTTCAGATTCTCTCGGGTTCTTCCATAATTTTTCAGATTCTCTCAATTTTTGTCGGTTTCTTTCAAATTATCTCAAATTCTCCAGTAAACTCTTAGATTCTCTCAGATTCCCTCAGATTCGTTTATAATTTTTCAGATTCGCATTCAGGTTTTTCATATTATTTCAGATCATCTGAATTTCTGCCAGATTCTCGCAGTTTCTGTGAAATTTTTCCAGTTTCTCTCAGATTCTCTTAGATTCTCCCAGATTTTCTTAGTTTTTCTTAGATTATCTCAAGTTCCCGCTGATTCTTTCAGATTTTTAATGGATTATTATTATTCTCTCAGATTCTCTTAGAATCTTTCAGATTCTCTGAGTTTCTGTTAGATTTTATCAAATTATCTCAAATTCTCTCAGCATCTCTTAGATTCTCTCAGATTCCCCCAGATTCTCATTCGTTACTTTAGATCTCTTCACATTGTCCCCAAACCGCCCACCCGCCCTATCTCAATTGTGATGATTTTTTTTATTCGTCGTGAGCCAAAAAGTTGGAGCTTAACTGCAAAATCCTTATTTCTCTACGAGAAATTAAAAACTTGTTTTTGAGTATCGTGTTGTTCAAAGAATACTATGTATATCAAGAAAAAAATAAATCCGAAGATTAGGCCACATCCATACCCGCCCCGATCTCAATTGTCAATTGTGATGCATTTTTCATTCGTTAGCAGATCGTGAGGCGGGGCTTAATTGCAAGATCGATATTTGTTTACATTTTAAACATGTTTTAAGTTTCTTGTTCTGAAAGGAAAGAAACTACGTATATTACGAAAAAAGGAAAAATATAAGAAGAGCCTAAGAAGCGGAATTTAAATGCAAAATTCTTATCATTTCTCTCTCTACAAGAAATTAATTTTTTTCTTAATATATATAGTATTCTTTAAACAGCACAGTACTCAAAAATATGTTTTTAACTTTTTCTAAAAAATAAGTATTTTGCAGTTAAGATCTGCCCCCTCGGGTCACAGCGAATAAAAAAAATCATCAGAATCGAGATAGGGCGGGTGGGCGGGCTTACATTTTGCTTTTTTGTTTTAATATGTGTAGACTTATTTCCACAACATGAAACTTAAAACATGTTTAAAATGGGAAATTTGTGTAAGGAGATATCTATTTAGCAATTAGGCTCCGCCCCATAATTGCAAAATCTATATTTCCTTGCAAAAATGTACCATTTTAACCATGCTACTTATTTTTAAAAATTAATAAAATAAAATAAAGTTAACTGCGAATTATTGTTAGACCACAGATAAAGAACTCTAATTTATATGTACGTCGTTCCCCTCCCGCTCGCGTAAATTGTTCTCATCACCCTGAAATTATCCCGAATCCGTCTACGCCTATATCGATTATGCAACCAACACCGCTTTTCGCTCCTCTCCCAATACATTGCTTTTTCATTTTTTATGTGAAAGCGCCTCGATTCGACACGTTTCAATCTCCTGTCACAGACAATATCGAAGGCTTTATTATTTCGCAACGGCAAGAGAAATTCGACATCTTTTTGCTTCTGGTAGATCCCCATCACGTGCAGTTTCCATTCGACCCACCGGAATGAGATTAATTGTAGTCTTGACTCGGGTTATTGCTTGCACATTCATAATTGAAGGCCGCCTGTGGTTAGCCTGCAGAAACCATTATCGAACACCCTGCAGGGTGGTTATGTCGTTGATTATCGAGGGCGACCGGGTTGTGGGTTGCAGGGACAAGACTCAGTAATAATGCCCCTAACCGAAGACGCAACCCAAAATACGTTTCCAGAGGTTGCGTAGCGTCATCATCATCAAGAAGACCCTCGACGCTGACCTTCCGAGCCCGTTTGATTGATTGGTTTTTCCCGCGACTTGGCGCAGTCGGTGGGATTTAATTTAAAATTTAACACTTTTGGCCGCAACTGTTGCGCGTTATATTGACACGTGTCAGGCCAACCCTTCAAGCCGAACTTCTTAAGAGGGTTTTGTTCGACATAACTTCAATTTGCTGCAAAATTTTCCCCAGCCACTTCCCGAGGGACCACAAAAGGTCTGCGATACATTTTACGCTCCTTTGTGTGGGCCGTATTTAACTTTTTTATATCCATCGCGCCACTTATCGCCGCGTGGACGCCGACTTTCCGGCGAAATCCGATTGCAAGGGTTTTGAGTTCCGGGGTAATTTGCGCAACTTACCGACATCTCGGACGAGGGGTGGTCTATGAAGATCATCTCGGACTCTTCGCCGTCGAGCAGCACCGAGACGGTCCTTTCGCCGAACTCGTCGTCTGAAAAGGGAAATTGTTAGCTGCGTGGGGTACCGAAAACTCACAAGTGGCCGATTAATCATGGAGGAGCGCCACCTACGCGAGTACGGCCCATTACGATTTGGGCCGAGGCGGCGATTTCGACGGAGAAATGTCACGCTTTTATTTACAAATTGGAGTGGATTTCCGCCCCATTTCCACGTGTGGAATGAAAATAAAAGCGCTCACCTTTATTACTCATAAAAAATCGGAGTGCGAATGGTGAGTGGTTCGCGGAAAGCGCCCCTGTGGGCGAACATTTTCGCACCTGGTGTGCACAAACACCCACATAATTAACATTAAGAGCAATTATAACAACTTGTGTTAGAACGTGTCCCAATGGGGCTGGTAGAGAGAAATACAGCTGATTTGAACTCTGACCTAAAAATAATCCCAAAATTCTAAATTTAAATAATCACAGCCTGGGCTTAAAATAAAGTCTGAAAGAGATTATTCGTTACGATTTCGATTGAAATCGAATTAATATTAAATAACTGACGGCAGAAAGGTTTCAGCTTTCTGAAAATTAGTCTCTTCACTAATTCGAGCTTTATGAATACGAATCAAAATTGCGGTACCGAGCTTCCTGAATTTTTTATATTTTTATTATGATGCTACTTGTAGAAAAATTACATTGTCCGTTTTATCGGCGTCTAAGATCCGAATGGCTACCTTTCTCGGTTAACAAATTACCAGTTCCGACACAGAAGTTGCAAGGAATCGAGTGGTACTAATGTCAAGTCGATATCTTCAACAGTTTTGAAATGGTGAAGTTGTAAACTTGAAAAATAAGTTTTTAGATGTACATTGAAATATAATTTCAATTGAAAAAGAATTCATATTTAACAATTGACACCAAAAATGAATTCTGTGCCACAAAATTAGTCTAAACACTTGATATCAGCTATATTCGAAGAGTTTCATTTTTTATCTTTATATTTCGCCATACTATACATCGAGAAAATTTCAAATTTCAATTATTTAAGATTATTTCAGTTAATTAGGTTTTCGGCTCCTTGAAAATTGATCTCTTTACTAACTCTAACCTCCTGAATGCGAATCAAAGCTCAGAATTAACCTACGGAGCTCTCTGATTTTTTTATTATTATTTTTTTAATGTCATGTTGTAGATTTAAAAATAATTTCCATGAAAAACGAATTAATATTCAACAATTGACCGCAAAAATGAATTCTGTATCGCAAAATTAGTCTAAATACTTCATATCAGGTATATTGGAAGAGTCTCATTTTTTCTCTTTATATTTCGCCATACTATACATTGAGAAAGTTTCAAATTTCAATTATTTAAAATTATTTCAGTTAATTAGGCTTTTGACTCCTTGAAAATTGATCTCTTTACTAACTCTAACTTTCTGAATACGAATCTGATTAGTTTAATTCTACGTAGCTCTCTGATTATTTTTTTATTTTTTCTATTGTCACTTATTAAAAAAATTACATTGTTCGTTTCATCAATCTCTCAGGCCCAAACGGCTACGTTTCTGATTTTTTTTTATTTTTTCTATTGTCACCTATTAAAAAAATTACATTGTTCGTTTCATCAATCTCTCAGGCCCAAACGGCTACGTTTCTAGGGCAGAAAATCACCTAGTTCCACTAGAAAACTGCAAGGAATCGAATGGTCTAAGCCGAAAGTTGAGATCTTGAACAGTTTTCAAATAGTGACCCTGGAAACATGAAAAATATGTTTTGAGATGTGGATTGGAACATAATTTCGATTGAAAATGAATTGATATTCAACAATCGACCGCAGAAAAGAATTCTGTACAGCAAAATTAATCTAAATACATCATGTCAGCTATGTTCGAAGAGTTTCATTTTTTCGACTTATATTTCGCCATACTATACATTGAGAAAATTTCAAATTTCAATTATTTAAAATTATTTCAGTTCATTAGGCTTTCGGCTCCTTGAAAATTGATCTCTTTACTAACTCTAACCTTATGAATACGAATCTGAGCTCAGAATTAAAGTGCGGAGCTCTCTGATTTTTTTTTTATTTTTCTATTGTCACCTATTAAAAAAATTACATTGTTCGTTTCATCAATTTCTCGGGCCCAAACGGCTACGTTTCTAGGGCAGAAAATCACCTAGTTCCACTAGAAAACTGCAAGAAATCGAATGGTCTAAGCCGAAAGTTGAGATCTTGAACAGTTTTTAAATAGTGACCCTGGAAACATGAAAAATATGTTTTGACATGTGGATTGGAACATAATTTCGATTGAAAATGAATTGATATTCAACAATCGACCGCAGAAAAGAACTCTGTACCGTAAAATTAATCGAAATACATCATGTCAGCTCTGTTGGAAGAGTTTCATTTTTTCGACTTATATTTCGCCATGCTATACCTTGAGAAAATTTCAAATTTCAATTATTTAAAATTATTTCAGTTCATTAGGCTTTCGGCTCCTTGAAAATTGATCTCTTTACTAACTCTAACCTTATGAATACGAATCTGAGCTCAGAATTAAACTACGGAGCTTTCTGATTTTTTTTTATTTTTTTTATTGTCACCAATAAAAAATTACATTGTTCGATTCATCAATCTCTCAGGCCCAAACGTCTACGTTTCTAGGGCGGAAAATCACCTAGTTCCACTAGAAAACTGCAAGAAATCGAATGGTCTAGGCCCCAAGTTGAGATCTTGAACAGTTTTTAAACAGTGACCCTGGAAACATGAAAAATATGTTTTGAGATGTGGATTGGAACATAATTTCGATTGAAAATGAATTGATATTCAACAATTGACCGCAGAAAAGAATTCTGTACCGCAAAATTAATCTAAATACGTCATGTCAGCTATGTTGAAAGAGTTTCATTTTTGCGACTTATATTTCGCCATACTATACATTGAGAAAATTTCAAATTTCAATTATTTAAGATTCTTTCACTTAATTAGGATTTCGACTCCTTGAAAATTGATCCCTTTACTAACTCTAACCTTCTGAATATGAATCTGAGCTCAGAATTAACCTACGGAGCTCTCTGTTTTTTTTTATTTTTTTTTAATGTCACCTATAAAAAAATTACATTGTTCGTTTCATCAGCCTCTCAGGCCCAAACGGCTACGTTTCTAGGGCAGAAAATCATCTAGTTCCACTAGAAATCTGCAAGGAATCGAATGGTTTAAGCCGAAACTTAAGATCTTGAACAGTTTTTAAATAGTGGCCCTGGAAACATAAAAAATATGTTTTGAGATGTGGATTGGAACATAATTTCGATTGAAAATGAATTGATATTCAACAATTGACCGCAGAAAAGAATTCTGTACTGCAAAATTAATCTAAATACGTCATGTCAGCTATGTTGGAAGAGTTTCATTTTTTCGACTTATATTTCGTCATACCATATATTGTGAAAATTTCAAATTTCAATGATTTAAAATTATTTCGGTTAATTTCGCTTTCAGGTTCTTGGAAATTAATTTCTTTACTAATTTTAACATCCTGAATACGAATCTGAGCTCAGAATTGAGTTATGGAGATTTGTGATTTTTTTTTAATGTTACCTATAAAAAAATGACATTGTTCGGTTTATCAATTTCTCAGGCTCGAGTGAACAAGTTTCTAAAGCGGAAAATCACCTAGTTTCACTATAAATCTGCAAGGAATCGAATGGTTTAAGCCGAAAGTTAAGATTTTGAACAGTTTTTAAATAGTGACCCTGGAAACATGAAAAATATGTTTTGAGATGTGGATTGGAACATAATTTCGATTGAAAATGAATTGATATTCAACAATCGACCGCAGAAAAGAATTCTGTACCGCAAAATTAATCTAAATACATCATGTCAGCTATGTTGGAAGAGTTTCATTTTTTCGACTTATATTTCGCCATACTACACATTGAGAAAATTTCAAATTTCAATTATTTAAAATTATTTCAGTTCATTAGGCTTTCGGCTCCTTGAAAATTGATCTCTTTATAACTCTAACCTTATGAATACGAATCTGAGCTCAGAATTAAACTGCGGAGCTCTCTGATTTTTTTGTTTATTTTTTCTATTGTCACCTATTAAAAAAATTACATTGTTCGTTTCATCAATCTCTCAGGCCCAAACGGCTACGTTTTTAGGGCAGAAAATCATCTAGTTTCACTAGAAATCTGCAAGGAATCGAATGGTTTAAGCCGAAAGTTAAGATCTTGAAAAGTTTTTAAATAGTGGCCGTGGAAACATGAAAAATATGTTTTGAGATGTGGATTGGAACATTATTTCCATTGAAAATGAATTGATATTCAACAATCGACCGCAGAAAAGAATTCTGTACCGCAAAATTAATCTAAATACATCATGTCAGCTATGTTGGAAGAGTTTCATTTTTTCGACTTATATTTCGTCATACCATATATTGTGAAAATTTCAAATTTCAATGATTTAAAATTATTTCGGTTAATTTCGCTTTCAGGTTCTTGAAAATTAATTTCTTTACTAATTTTAACATCCTGAATACGAATCTGAGCTCAGAATTGAGTTATGGAGCTTTGTGATTTTTTTTTAATGCTACCTATAAAAAATGACATTGTTCGGTTTATCAATTTCTCAGGCTCGAGCGACCAAGTTTCTAAAGCGGAAAATCACCCAGTTCCACTAGAAAATCACAGGGAATAGAATGGTACAAACGGCAAGTCGAAATTTTGAACTGTTTTGAAATGGTGAGGCTGTAAACTCGAAAAATATGTTTGAGTTGTAGATTTAAAAATAATTTCCGTTAAAAATGAGTTAATATTCGACAATTGACCGCAAAAATGAATTCTGTATCGCAAAATTAGTCTAAATACTTCATATCAGGTATATTGGTAGTGTCTCATTTTTTCTCTTTATATTTCGCCATACTATACATTCACAAAATTTCAAATTTCAATTATTTAAGATTATTTCAGTTAATTAGGCTTTCGGTGCTTTGAAAATTGTTTTCTTTACTAATTTAAACCTCCTGAATACGAATCTAAGCTCAGAA